GTTCCTCTTCGTGCCTTCTGGTCCTGGGAAATGGCAGAGGGAATGCGAAAGCTAGGCTGTGAGGCTGTGCCTGGCGCGAGCGACCTTTCCGAGGGATGTAGGGGGGAGGAAAAATGCCACCGGCTTCATCTGCAGGGTATGAGGGAGTGGAGAAATTCCAGCCTTGCTGTTGCTTTTGTATTTAGGGCATTTCTTGTGTTGCCCCAGACGTTTCGCAAGTGCCTCGTGCCTGGCCGGTGGGAGAGGCTGTTGTGTCCCCTTGTCCTCCTGGAGCCACGTGAGAGCAGCTCGCTGGGTGCCCCTGTACCGAGGGACGTGTCTGGTGTGCTGCAGCAGACCTGCTTGCTCCTGGACTGCTGTGCTCCTGGTGTGACTGGGTGTCTCTGGTCTGTGACCAGCTGTCTCTGGAGTCCCAGCAGTCAGGGAGGTCATCCCCACAGGGACCTGGCCACCTAGCCTGGACCCTGCGTCCTTCGGTGCCTCGGGATCTTGCCCAGCATCTTGGAGGAGATCTTGCTGGAGGAGACTTTGATCTTGCCCTGATGTCCTTCAGAGAGCAGGAGTGCTCCTGCTGCCTGGGCTGGGGAGGATGGAGCTGTGCGCGGCTGAGGAGCTTGTTTCTGTCCCCGCCCTAGTATGGAGGAATTGTTTCCAAAGCTCTCGGCAGCAGAATAGAATGTTTCAGTTGGAAAGGACCTACGACAATCATCTAGTCCAACTGTCTGACCACTTCAGGGCTGACCCAAAAGTTAAAGCACGTTGTGAAGGGCATTGTCCAAATGCCTCTTAAACACCGACAGTCGTGGGGCATCGACCACCTCTCTAGGAAGCCTGTCCAGTGTCTGACCACCTTCTCACTAAAGAAATGCTTCATCGTGTCCAGTCTAAACCTCTGCCGAGGCAGCTTTGGACCATTCCCACATGTCCTACTGCTGGATACCAGGGAGAAGAGATCCGCACCTCCCTCTCCACTTAAGGTGAAATGCAGTACTCAGAGGGACTAAAGTACTACTTAGAGAGGATTTTGACATATCTAAGAGGAGATTATTGCTAATTCTGCTCCATTACTCTGACTGCTTTATTTCAAAGCTTGTATTAGGCTGTTGCAGCATGCAGGAACTGCAGATCAAAGTACAGGTGCCCGTAGCATGTGGAGCAAGCTCAGGTACAGCTAACGTGTACAGGGAGGGCAGGTTTTCTTTCCAGCCTTTCTCAAGAAGCGTGAATGTTTAGAATCTGCTCTTTGATCCTTCAGGATTTGGGATTTCTCATTCAACCATCCTTTTTTTTTGCCTTGGGGTTTTCCAGGCAGCTGGGAGGTGACTGCAGGCTCAGTAAGGGTGATGCAGTCCTCGGCATCTCAGTTCTCCTGCCTTGCTGATCCCTCTTTCTTCTGCGGTGTAACCCTCCAGCTACGCGGCATAAACCCAGCACCGTGATTGTACTCGAGCAGTAATTGTGCATAACTAGAGCACACTTTGTGCTCTTAAGCAAGTCTGTTCAGTAAGTATTCCCTCCTTCCCCCCCAATTTCTGCTCCTGCTTTCTTTCCCCAGCGCTTCGGCAGCCAGGCACGCTTTGCAGCCTGGGTGGAAGCGAGTCAGTGTGGGAATCTGGGCGCATCCTTGTTGCGGCAGATTTTGGCAGCTGCTGTCTGTGTCTCATCTGCTGCCAGGAACAGAGATGCTGTGAAGCCTTATCGTGCTGGCCGCGGTGCTCGTAGCTGCCTGTGGGACCCTGGCCGTCACAGGTGGGGACCCACCATGGCACTGACTTGCTACTGGAGTGGCCTGCCTGCGGTGAGACATCGTCGTCTATTGGCACGAGAGCCCCTCTGTCCGTAGTGCCTGCGCGTCACCGGGGTGAGGCTTGGATCGTGGCCCGGGGAGCTTTAAGCCCGAAGGGAGCAAAGCTCCGGTGTCACGGCAGGACAGCGGATGACAGTGGGGCTGGGAGGGCTGGCAAGGCACCCGGGAGCTGCGTACTCTTGTTGTGCCACTCCTGATGTACAGGATGGGACGGCTCCCTGGGATGCTGGGATGTGTTTAGGGACCAGACTTGCCCCGGTGCCACCCTCCAGCTGTGCCTGTGCTGCCTGTTAGGGCTGACCATGTCCATCACTGGGACAGAGCTGCTGCACAGGCAGTGAAACGGGTCTGAGCGGTATCAGGGACTGGCTTGAGCCCTGGGCCCTGAAAGGGGAGCTCCCAAAAAGCAGACAGTGGGGTTTTGGGAGCTCTCAGAAGGCAGACAGTGGGGTTTTTCGTAGGGCTGAGGTGTGCTGGGAGCACTGGCCAACCAACAAGGTGTAGCCTGTGCTGTGCCCCATTGTGCTGAGCGCCTGTGCCTGCGGGGGGGGGAAGCGGGGAATGAATTGCGCTGTCTCTCGTGCCCTATAAATATGCCTCTCCCTAAATAGTCTGGCTGCGTGGCTCCGTGGCAGCCGAGTGGCTGTACCCAGGTCCTAAAATACTTGCGCTGTTTTAGGAGGCGAGGGGGGCGGGGAGGGAATGCAGCAGTTTGCAGGGTGCTGCCGTTGCTCTGTGGGGCTGGCACTGAGTGTCCAGGGGCTTCAGTGTCCCTCTGGCTGGCTGTCCCCAGCTGCAAGGGAACCGGTAACCTGATTTCGGAGTGCATCTCGGCGTCAGCCCAGCGTGCTCAACACCCATTGTGCGGCTGGTACAGCGTGCTGCTCTGCCACCGCGGCCCACTGCTGGCAAGACCCCATTTCTCACAATCCTGGCTTTGTGCTGCCTCTCTGCAGGGATGACGAGCCCTGAAGCTGTGCCCCACGCTTAACCCTTTCGGGGCAGTGCGTTTGCCCCTGGGCTCAGGGCCAGGGCACACACTGAGGGCTGGTGTTTGCCTGCAGGTAGCATCTGTAGCAGAAGGGTGAGATGAGGGTTTGTTCCCTCTTCCTGCCTTCATCTCCATCATCCAACACTTCCGAGAGGGGCCGGGCAGTGTCCTGACCCTGGCAGCCCTTGGTGGGGACTTCGGTGTCATCGTGCCTCTGCACCCAGCTGAAGAGAAGCGTGAGCTTGCTGGGACCAAAAATCCCCCAATCCCAAGGGTCTCCCTGCCACTAGATGCTTTGCTGCTTTATCTAATCAAAGGCACTGCCTCTCCAACCACCTTACTCTGGAGGAAAGGCTCCACACCCTTTCTCCCAAACTTAAAGGAAAAACAAATTGACAATTAAATATTGCACTTACTATGCTTCCGTGAGGTCTTGAAATTGCGTCTCGGAGCTGGGCTGGGTAATGCTGTGAACTGTGCCTTAATTAACTGATGCCTCCCTTGCTGTGATGAACCCGCTGCCTTTCCTCCTGTTATGTCTCAGTTCTGTGACCTGGTTTCTGCTCCGACAGAGGTTTCTTTCCTAGTTTTCCAGAAAGCTGTCCAGCCTGGTGGGCTCACGGGTTCGCTGGGTGCAGAGCATGCAGGCAGATCAGTAGCAGGGGCTACACGACAGCCTGGTGGTGACCTCCCTGTCATCTGGGGTCTCTTGGGCCTGGGACCATTGGAAACAAAGAGGCATAGAGTACAAAAGATGGTTGTGGAGGTGGTGGGACTCTGGCAAGCCGTGGAGGCCACCCCAGTTTGGGGGAAAAGCACCCTGTGCTTATGCTTGTGAAGACAGGGGCAGAGCTCTTGCCTGCAGCCCTGCCTTGTGCTGCCCATGCCTGCGAGCAGCTCGGGGCCAGCGCCTTTGTGCCTTCCTCTGCCACAGCTTCCTCTGCAGCTGTGAGGTTTCTCAGCTGGAAAGGGCTTTCTTCCAGGGTAACCACAACTGTGCAGGTCTCAGCCTGGGATGGCTACAGCTGTCATTTCTTTGGAAGAGAGCTAACAGTCAATGCAAGATGATGGGTGGGAGGATTTGATGGGCTTCCGCCAACAGAACTTCAGCACCGTGCCTAGGGTTTCCTTTCTGAAGGGCTGAAAGGGTTTAACTCTGTCAGGGTTGAGATGGTGGCGACAGGGCGGTGGCAGGCTGTGCGCCAGCGCTAAGCCCAGCCTGGCAGACCCTGCCCGTCCTCCCATGCAAGCTCCCAGCTCTGTGCTGGACCCCGATGGCAGGAGCAGGATGAGGGAGGGCGTTGATGGGCTGTCTGACAGCAGAACACCCATCTCTCCAGCCTTTGGACTTTGAAACCGAGTGATGGCCCTGGTAAGAGTGAAGCGCTGGTTGCTGGGTGGGCTGGATGCTTTACTCGCACCCACAGCGGATGTCAGAGGAGGAACTGGTGCGTGGTCCCAGGCTGAGCCCAGCAGGTCACTGCCTCCCCATCCCTAAAGCACTCTGCCCCTTGCACGGGTGCTCTCTCCTCCTGCAGAGAGTCCTTGCTGTCCTTCATGCTCCATTGGGAGCGTGGTCCCATTCAAGTCTTGCTCCTAGAGGTGGGCACTGGTTTGCTCAGCCCCGTGATGCAGCCCCCAGCACCAGCTAGGATCCTGGCACTCCCCCAGGACTGCCTTGCTGTTCTGCCCGGGGACACTGAATAAACAGCTGCCCCGAAGCGTGGTCCTTGTGTAGTACAAAACCATTTTGGAGAGGAAAGATCTTAACAGCTAGAAGGGGCGTGTTTTGCTTACAAAGAGAGATAGCCACTTTCTGCTGGGAGGTTCTGGTTGGTCTCTGCTCCCTGTTTCACCTCTAAATGAGGAGGAGACCTGGCAGCAGCTGGCTCCAGCATGCCTCTGCCTCACTGTGCTGGTGCAATGGTGTAAGCTGTGTGTAAGTAACTTTTATGCTGGACGTGCAAGTGGGTGAGATGGAAATCCCGCTGAGATAAGCTGAGTTCCTCCATGCTCCTTCTGTGTGGGTGGTTTGGTCTAAGCTCTCCTGAGCACTTCTCTCTCTGGTGAGACAGCTCTGAAAGCTGCCCACTACTTCCCCGAGCTTAATATATCTCAGCACTAGCTGTGTTGTGCCGCTTCCCCCCTCCCTCAAGCTTTGAACCACTCTGTGACTTTATCCATTTGCACGGTTCCTCTTCTGGGAAGATGCATGTGGGCGATGACGAGGGCTGACCCCTTCCCCTTCGCACCCTGCAGGTATGACTCAGGACGGGATGGGTACATCGACCTGATGGAGCTGAAGCTGATGATGGAAAAGCTGGGAGCTCCACAGACCCACCTGGGACTGAAGAACATGATCAAGGAGGTGGATGAAGACTTTGATGGGAAGCTCAGCTTCCGTGAGGTGAGGGTGGCTGCGGGAGCAGGCAGCGATGTGGCTGCGGGGCGGAGGGAGGAGGCAGCCAGGCCCTGTACTCTGGCTGTAGGTAGCACTGTCCCCTCCGTGTTTCTCCATCTGTGGGGAGCAGTGGAGAAGCAGGTGAGTTTCCCCATGCCACAGGGAGCTCGAGGTGTGGGCCAGTGTCAGCATTGGTGTCCATGTGGCAGTAGCGGTACCTGATGTCAAAGCTCTCCAACCTCTCTGCCTGCTTTGGGGAGCTCATTTCAGCCCTATTGCAGCTGCCCAGGAGCGCTGACAGAGGTCCCTGCTGTAGCTGGAGGTAGCATGTCCCTTCAGTCACAAGGTCTTGTCGCTGGGCTTCTGTGGCACAGTGGCTCAGGCCTTATTTCAGGCGCAAGGGAAGGGCTCTGCTCAGAGCAGCTGGTTTCATAGGGTGCAGGAGGCTTCCTCCTCCAGTTTATGCCAGATCCCTTTCTGCATCACGCAGTGGCCAGCCACAGCAAGCTTCATGAGGGGTGGTCACATCCCTGCAGCAAGGAATAAACGTGGTGATGCAGCAGTTCGGTACTGCATGCTGGCTCAGCAGGGACACACAGCGAACAGGTCGGTCTGTCACCGCTGTGCTGAGGCTGCTGAGAGCCGTGTGGGCAGGCCAGGATCCGCTACCAGGCAGAGGAAGAGAGGGAATTTGAGCAGTGACCTGCGTGAAACCTCCTGTTTCATCATCTCCTCCCATGCTTTGATTGATGTCTATGAAGTGTATGTCACACTGTGGCTTTCTGAATTAACCAACAGCCCCTTAGGCAGCAGGAGGGCCAGTGCTGCTTGTATCCTGCAGCAGCTGTGAGGGCTGTGCTGCTGTCCTGCTTCCTGCCGCCCCAGGGGATGGCTGCAATGGGCCCCAAGCACCTGGGCTCCCTTGTTTCTGTGGGGGCTGTGCTCTCACCGTGCCTCTTGCAGCGTGGGCGCTTGGTTGTGGAGATGAGGTGCAGAGCTCTCCACAGCTCAGGACATTAAGTTCTTCATCTTGGAAGTGCCGGGACCTTTGGCAGTGCCTGGGAAGGGAGGATGAGCAGCCAGGGCCCATGACCGGCTGGGCTGGCTGGGGTCTGAGGGGTGACTGGCAGATCGCAGAGCTGCTGCACCATCTCTGTCTGCTGGCGTGTCACATCATCTCCTCCCACTTTCATCTCCCAAGGGTTTTGTTGCATTTCTTTCGCTGCAGGAGGACAGCAGTAGAAGACAGAGGCCAAAGACCATTGAGCTACAGGGCCTGGCCCATAGAGAGGTGGAAAGACAAGCTAATCTGGGAAGTGGGAGCCTGTCAGTTCACACCAGAAAAGCGCTAAGCTGCCACCTCCTCTAGGCAGGGAAGGAGACATGCCCGGTCAGAGGTGAACTGGGGGTAGCAAAGAATCCAGCGGAGCAGGAAGAGCACCATGCCCTTGGCCGCTGGTCAGACTGCAGTTGCTAAATTGCTGTGTGGGCTGGAGAAGCCCTCTCTACCCCTCTGCATGCCCCCTGGGCCACCTTTCACCCTGGTTGAAGAGCTGGGGACAGCCTCTGGGCTTGCTGCAGGGGCTCTCTCCTGTGAAAGAGAAGTGCCTTTATCTGCAAGGCTCTGGAAGATGCTGTGGTGTCCTGGCACCCGTGGCAGAGCAGCTCCTCTTCTGCTGCCACCTGTTTGGAGCACAGCCCCCTGCACGGCCGCCCGTCAGCTGGCACAGGCTCCCTTGGCAGGCGGCGTGTGGCAGCTGGTGCGGTTGTAGTTTCTTCCCAGATGCAAAACGATGGTCAAGCAAATGCAGGCTGGAGTGGCTCATGGGTTGGAACGAAGGAGCGTCACTGGCAGAGCGCTGGGGACGAATTACACAGCAGCTTTGGCATGTACCCAAAGATTCCTATGGTAGAGAGGAGCAGGATGCTTCTTGCCTTGTTACAGATGCGCTGTGTCCAGCTGCTGCGTTTGGGCAGAGGGCTGGCAGGGAGGCAGGCTTCCTGCTGGCTGAGGAGGCCCAGATCAGCCCATAGCCCTGCCCCACTCTGCTTCCTGTTGGTGGTGACGAGCAAGCACGTGGTGGGTGACCAAGCTGACTTGGGATACTCTGACAATGCAAGGAGAAACCCTGGTTTAAATCACAGAATCACAGAATGTTCAGGGTTGGAAGGGACCTCTGTGGGTCACCCAGTCCAACCCCCTGCCGAAGCAGGGTTATCCAGAGCAGGCTGCACAGGACCTTGTCCAGGCAAGTCTTGAAGATCTCCAGAGAAGGAGACTCCACAACCTCCCTGGGCAGCCTGTTCCAGGGCTCCGTCACCCTCAGAGTGAAGAAGTTCTTCCTCATGTTCAGATGGAACTTCCTATGCTTTGTGCGTAGGGTTTGTGCCTGTAACTCAAGCATTGGAGGGCTCCTGTCCGACTCACCAGAGAGTTTCAGGTCCTTAGAAACCTGCCTGAAGACGTGCGTCTCGTAGCCTGGGCAGAGAATTGGTAAGGATCTCTTTCACTTGCAATAGGTCACCTTTTGTTGCCGCTTTGAGTAGCGTCATGTCTTCCCTTCCCCTGTAAGCTGCTGGCTGGAAAGCAGGCTTGTGTGACTCCGACTTGCAGCTGATGAACTGCTGGCCCCGTTAGGAAAGCTGCCTTCTACCACTGACCTTTGAGCATCATCAGTACATCAACAATTAACTGCCATCCATCAATACATCAACAATTAACTGCGCGAGACTACCTCGTGTGACTTGAGCAAAGATTAGGTACAGTGGGGAGAAAAAACCACCGCTGACTGTCTAGTTCCATCACTATCACAGGAAACCAGAGTTAATTGCTATAATAGTAATGTCTAATTGTACCTGCTATCTAGAACCCACAAAATCCACCCACTGTCCCCCACCAGCTTAAATGCTAACCCACGTCATGTGTTTGCTAGGAGAGTTGGTGCAAACCACAGCCTTGGGTGACACTGCTTTTCTGGCAAGCTGCTGCATGGCTGCTGTTGCCAGTCAGTCCCCTCCTTTCCCTTGCATCCCTGAGGCCAGCACGGTGCCCGGTGGGGCTGTGTAACTGCAGCATTGCTCTGAGACCTGGCACTGTGAGCTAGGCCTTGGGTCACGAAGGATGTGAGAACAGATACATCTCTTACCTCTTATGAGGTTAGTGGGGTGGAAAGCGTGTGTCGTGTCCTCCTTGAGAGCAGGGTTTTTAAAAGTACCAACATTATTCACTTTTTGCTTCTCTGTTGACGTTTCCCTGAGGCTTATCTCTGTGCAGTGTGTCCAGGGCCCAGCAAGGGTGTGAGGTGGGTTGGGAGGTTGGGAAACCGAATACAGATTCCTGGCATTCTCTAGTTGAGGACCGATGCTTCGAGGGCAGCTAACTGGTCAGGTGGGCTGCAGGTGGTCTGCTTACGTAAGGAAGGATTGCCCCTGAGGAATCCAGCATGATGCCCCATGGTCCACCTTGCTGGTCCTTGGGGCTGTGTCTGCCCCAACCGGTGGCTCAGTCCCTCGTTTGCTTGAGCTCAGCTTCCTGGCTGCGGCAGCCCGTGTTCCACAGGAGGATTGTTGCCCCATCCCCTAGTTTCAGCATGATTCATGCACACTTGTACTCATGACTGGGTGTTTCCAGTCCCTCCCGAGGCGACAGCTGTACTAGACCTCAGGATTGTGCTGCCTCCGCTGCCCTTTTCCAATGCCAGGAAGTGGGACTCGCAGGGTGGAGCAGAAACTGTGAGGAGGAACCATGACTAACGCCAGCCTGGCTGCCAGCCCTCTGTGTCCCTGTGCCTGGTGGTGGAGGAGGAGAGGAACTAGCCTGAGGCGAGCAGATCTGAGCAGAGGGAGAGGTTATCATGGGGACGATTTGATTTCTTCCTGAGCAGGATGTTCTGCCCATTCAGCAGAGCATCATTAAGTTTCTTACATGCGTTTGGAGGGGGAAAAGTTCACTCCCAAGCACAGCCTGCTTTCTGGCTGCTCTGTGCTGAGCGCACACGGGTTACGAGGCCGTTGCATGAAGCAATGCCTGGTGACGCTGCCTCTGCGAGAGGGCGGCCAGCGCTACAGTCATCTCCACACCCTTCCCCATGGGACGCCTTCCCGAACTCCTGCATCTCCACCGGTTTCTGCAAGCAGCTTGAAGCAGGCGAGCGTGTTATCGGCTGGCTTAGAGGATGCTGGGGTTTTGCTGCCCTCCTCCGGGACTGCTTGGGCTCTCTGTAGGAAGCAGCGAAGTCCTAGGCCTGACAGTCTGAGGAGCACAGCACCAGAGATGTTTGATGTTCCTGTGCAAAGGGATTTCAGGGCAACGCTACGTGGTGTTGGCAGCCCTCTGCTCTGGACTGAAGTGGTGCAGCGGCGCAGCTTTGTCGCTTGTGCTGCTTTTGTACCTGAGTGACTTGTCCCCATCTGTGTTCTTTCCCCACTGTGCCAAGCACTGAGACACCTCCTGGGGTGGCCAAGAATAGCAGGGAGTTACAGGACCTCTCAAATTACGCATAGAGCATCCACATCTTAACGTGGAGTTTGGTTAGCAGGTTTAAGGTGGTGCAGAGGTCTTCATTTTTAAGCAGGCAGGTCTTGTTCCTTCAGTAAAAGTGTGCTTTCCTGGAGGGTAATATGGCTCTTTTTTTTGTTTTCTTTTCTAATTCTCTTGCCAATACGTGTACTCTGGATAGTGTAGTCGTGACTCTGGATTTGTTGGACATCTATGGTCCAGTGCAGGACAAAGGTTTCAAAACCAGTTGCTCTGTGGACGCTCGTTCAAGCCACTCTACCAGCAGGGCATGCCTCTGACCTGACCTCTGACAGGTCTTGGCGAAGCGCTCCTGTATGCTATTCAATGGGGACGGCAGGAATACGTAAGGCTTTCCTTACCCTTAGCGAAACCAGCCGGGGTTCCCTGGAACAGGCTGAGGCATAGCTCCAAGGCTTGATTTAAGTCACTTTTCCCACACCCTAGACAAGGGACCAGTTGAAGAAACTACGTTCTGCTCTCCTGGTGCACTTGACCTTGATTTTTGTTTTGCGCTCCCATACTGCGTGGGCGATAGGGCTTGGGAAGGACAGAAGGCGCAGGGTTCATAGCAGCCAGGCAGTCCCCAGATCCCTTTCAAGTGCACACACTTGGGCTGCTAGTCTCTCTTGACAGGAGTGTGCTGGCACCTTGGTCCAGCGAACCTGGGGTTCAGGTGTAAGCCAGGGCTCTTTGCCCTGCTTTTGTTGTCATGGGATGTGATCTGAGACCCTGGAACACTGGGGAAGCTGGTGGGGAGCTTGTGAATACGCCGTTAGGGTGTGGGGACATAGAGGTGTATCTGAGCCCACCATACAAGGCAGATGGAGAGGTGGCCTTCTTCCTCTGGCCATGTAGCAGCCTGGGCTCGGTAGGAGCTGTGCTTCACCAGGGCTGTGCTCCCCACAAAACCCTCTTCCTATGAGATTTCTACCTCTTAGTCCAACAGGGCTGTGTACCAGAGCCAGGGCACTGCAGCACAAGTTGCATGGTGCTGCTTCATTTATATAGACCTGGTTTCCTTTGCTCAGAAATGTAAATTCCAGCCATCTCCAGGTAAAAGTCTGCACTGTTTGCATTTTAAGTTGTTTCAGCTTCAGTGAAGAACTTGAATGTTTCCTCTCTGTCTTGCTAGTTCCTTCTGATTTTCCATAAAGCTGCGGCTGGGGAACTCGAGGAGGACAGCGGCCTGTTGACTCTTGCGAAGCTCTCGGAGATAGATGTCTCCATTGAGGGGGTCAAAGGAGCCAAGAACTTCTTTGAAGCTAAGGTATGGTGTAGCACAGAGGAACAGGAGAACGCTCTGCACGCAGGCCTTAATTGCCACTGAGACACTGACCCTGCTTGTTTTTCAATAGAAGATGCTGCCAGCTAAAAGCTGCCTATTTCATGCGTGCTCCCTGCCCCCCCCCCCAACTCAGCCGTGGCTTTTCGCTTCAAACTTTGTGTTGGACTGTAGCTACAGCCTTCTTCTGCAGATCAGTCAACACTTGAATGGCTTAATTCACTGTCTCTGCTGTGGGTCTTACCCTGGTAGAGCTGACTGGCTGACCTGTGTCCCTGTGGCCGAGAGCTCTATGGGACTAGCTGGCTGGCTGCTTTTAAAGACAAAAGCATCCTGGAAACTAATGGGACAGAGTTTCCCACTTGCTCTGAGTTCAGTGGTGAATGGATTATTTTGGAGTATAGGATTTCAGACATCTCTCTCTCGAGCAGCACTCTGTAACCTTTGGAATCAAAATTGTTCTGCGGGGTCCTGGGGTTGGCAGAAAGAGCTCTGCACCATTTGAAGCTGACAAAGCACCCTTTTTGAAAGACTTCTTGGAGAGAAAATAATCCTGCTTGTTTATATAAGAAGTTTTTTCCCAAGAGCATAACACAGCTATTGCACAGCAGATGTACTGAGATGAAAGCTGGAAAAATAGCCAGCAAATAAACAATGTCTCTTTGATCTGCAGATTATCTGTGGTGTAGTGTGGTGTTGTCAGATCTGGCTGTGGTTCAGAACTGTTTTCTGCAGCAGTTTCTCCCACTGTATACTCGCGACTTAGGCTATGCTGCCTGTTTACAGACAGAATGTATGTGACCCAGTACTGACGGCATTGTTTTGGTCACTTGTTAGTGACTGATTAGTAAATGACCTTTCTTTTATTGATGTTAGTCAAGCAAGCTAGCAGGTATTGGGTGTAAATAGCCAAGCACTGCAGTGTAATTAATACTTGACCCATCCTGACAGCTTCCCAGCAAGCGCTGGGAGGTGCAGCAAGCAGTTCTGCGCAGCTCGTCTGGGAGTAGTTCAGGCTGTGGCTCTCCCTCTGATGCAAGGCTTGATGCTCTCCTGTTTTTTTTTTTCTCTTGTAAAGGTTCAAGCCCTCTCTTCAGCAAGTAAGTTTGAAGCAGAGATAAAAGCTGAGCAGGATGAGCGAAAGCGGGAAGAGGAGGAAAGGAAACACCGCCGAGCAGCTTTCAGGGAGCTAAAATCTGCATTTACCCAGTAACTAACCAGCCAACATGCACTCCGAGATTGAACGTGACTTGGTACGTTTCCCAGATCAGGGCTCTACCTGGAGAGAACTGCCTGGATCCTGCCTAAAACTCATTACAGCTTCGCTAGCCTTCCTCTCCTGAAGATCCTCCTGAGTTTCTAAGGGCACAACTCTTGCGGTTGCCATGAGTTCATAACAGTGTGAATCGTAAGAGCTGTGTATGTGCTGTTCGCTCTTAACTGTCGGGAGCACGTCATCCTGAAGCAGAAAGAGCAGGTAGCAAATCACGGTGAGCACTGACAGGTGTCGTGTTTGCCGACTTCATTCTTTCCTTTTTTTCCTAGACACCCTTTTAACTCCTTATTAATTCATTCCTTGCTTACAGGCAAGTAGTGGGGTCTTGTGTAAATCGGTGTACAAAGTACAGCTTGACTTCCCGTACGTTTGTACTGCTATTGGGTGTTGTCATGCGTCCTTGACTATCCTTTTCTTCGTCCTCAAAGCTCTGTGCCACAGGCACTGTGAAAACACTGTGAAGAGAGAAAGATAGTTACTAGGGACATGGATCAAATCAATTATCATTTCCTGTCGCGTTTTCCGCCACCCAGCATGTTGGAGAGTCTTCCAGTTTTTCTTCTCTGAAGTGCCATAGTAATAAACCTTTCAATAAGCGGTGAGATTTTCCCAAGACTTTGAAGGGAGGAAGCTGGCGCTTGCTTAAACGAGGAATAGAAAACTGAGTTGCCTGCCCATGTATCTTCTTTCACATTCCATCATGTTTAGTGTACTGTATGACTTCACTGTATTTTCCAGCCTTAGGCTGCTGTATCTGTTTTTAAGGGATATTGCCAGCTGGACAATGCAATCAGATGGCACACTGGGGTTTTCTATTTGGAAATTTGCTCATATCCTGAATCACAAAGGTGACACTGTTTGATTCCATGAGAGCCACGACAGATAACACCAGGCCAGCATACTGAGCAATCCCTGTGCAAGAAGGGAAGAGCAGCGAAGTCAGCACTTTTAGCTGAACTGAATTTGAGGGCTTGCACTATATTATTAGCCATTTTCTTTCACAAACACAGGAAACTTGCCCGTAAATGTTAAAATGCCCACTGCTTGTCTGGATATATACTCTGTAGGTCACAGCAGGGGAGCTGTGTTCCTTCAGAGACCTCCCTTGAAACATGGATTTGCTCAAATTCTGCCTCTCTCCTTGCCCCAGTTCGTGCATTTTTTTTTTCTTTCCAGAACTAAACTCACCAGTTGTCTTTTCACTTGTCTGTTTTGCTTCTTAAACTGTGAGCACTAAACTGTGAGCGTGGAATAATAAATAGAAAAAACCTCTGCTCTTTAATGTCAGGTGAAAGAATCGCTAAACAATTAACTGTGTATATATATCTTCACAGATTATATTTTATAAATCACGCTTTTTTAGCTAAATATTTATAATTAAATGTTTTTATACTTTACAACAAAGCAGATAATTTCATCTTCAATTATTTCTCCTGTTGCTGAAATGTATAAATAAAGCATTGTTATCTCTGGTCTTGTCTGTCATTTTAGGCCCCTGAATATACTGTTTCGTTCTACAGTAGCGGTCCCCGCTCCTGAACGTGCCCGTGTTTGATCCCCAAAGCTCGGCATCTTGACTTGGATGAGTGAGGGAAGTGTCCATCCCCTTCTTGATAGCACTTCCCCTTCTGTACGGCAGTTCTGGTGTAAAAAGCCCTAATGTTTGCAATTCCTCAGAAAGGGACACGGCTGTGTAAATATTTGAAATACTGTCCACTGCTAAATGTCGACTTCTGAACGCTGTCAGCCTTCCCTTATCTTAAAATAGCCACTGCGTCTCAGCCCCGGTAGTGCACCAGCTGGGGGCCAGGCAGGTCGCTTCGGCTAGATTTCCCTTTGCATTTCCTCTTTCTGCCTTTATAGAAGGGAGGGAAGAAAAAAATAAGCGGACATCTGAAAATGTGTCCGAGCATCTTGTTTCTACTGGTGCTGATCTGCTGAGCTTTGCTGGCGTGGCCAGTTTGGGGGGTCTCAGGAGGAGGCCTAATGATGCATTGTTGCGATGCAGTGTATGATCCGGTGATGAAACAGAAAATGTAAATATTTTATCCGGTGCAGGTCTGCTCTGTGTTGTCAGCAGTCGATGCATTCGCTGTCTGTCTGTGAGCCCTCAGGTCTTGGGGGTCAGGTAAAATCAGGGTGGAGGTTCCTTAGTCTCTGTTTCCACAGGAAAATTGCAACACTGCAGCTCTTGATTTTTCTTTTTTTTTCCTTCACAGTGCTGACTCGTGCTGCTTTGCATGTGCAGCTGGGTGAGGAGCCTGGGGCAGCAGGAGGAGAGGGTGGAAAAAGGGCGTCCAGTGGTTTAATAGATCTGAGTCAACTCCAGTTGACAAGTTTCAATAAGAAATGAGCCGTGTGTCTGTAGGAGTTTTGTTCCATTCAAATAGGTGCTGTTAGCTGGGGGCCTTTATTTGGTGCAGTGAAGAGTAAGTGCTTTTGGACGTACTTTTATTTTGAAGTTGCAGCAATGCGCGTTTTGAAATCAGCTTTCCAAAAATTGACATTAGGAAATGAATTGCTTTCTAAATTTTCTGTTTTGCTGGCAACTTGGATTGAATAACAATGTCAGTAGCTTATGCAGAAGTATGAAACAATTGTCTACCTTAATGTCCCATCTAATACTGGCTGCCAATACTTACTTTATTTTATTTACCTACAATTAATGTATTACAGTCCTTGATGCTCTGGCCTCTTTCTATGCCTGATGTCACCATAGGTGGCCCTTAAAGCTTCTGGCAGTCCCGGCTCTCTTTACTGGTGGTACATCAATACCGGTGTGGCATTACTGACATGTCCCGAGTCTGTCTGTGATGGCAAGTAGAGAAGTTTGATGAAAAGCCTGTCGTGGTTATGGGCCTTTCCCAGAAGGGACGAAGACTTGCCACAAGTTGCTCATCTCCTAGAAGGGGAACTCCAGGTACTCCTCGATCCCTGGAAGGTTTTTGTTTAACGTTTCGAAGAGCAGGAGATGTACAGTAGACGAGTCACTAACACTTCAGCCAGCACCAAGGTTGGGTTCAGTCTGTCTGGATACTCGGATTGCAGTGTGTTTCTCAGCGATGCTTCTGTCACAGCCACTGTCGTTGGTGGCAGGGGACACCGTGTGACAGCAGGAAGTCTTACCTAAAAAGCTCAGTGTAAACACAAGAGAGAAAGGGAAACCATACCATCAGGTTCTTCCTGGCTTAGGGTTGAGTCTTTAGCTGTGAGGATTAAAGTGACTAAATTGAATCTTAACCGTATGGGAGTGTCTAAATAAATCCCTTGCAAAATGGACTGGAGCAACTGGAGTGCTTTATTGTCGCCTTTCAAAGTCAGCTGGCCACATGTGGGAAGGATGTCTTAAAATAATTGGGTGTTGCAGAAGTAGCAGCATATTTGTGGTAGTCCGTCTTTCAGCGTAAGCCCTCTGAGGTGACAGGTCAATTGAAGTGACTGATTTTTTAAAAACTACAGCTGGATGTTCACCTGCCTGCCTTGTCTGTTGCTTTTATCATTATTTTTAGGGATGTGACAAATGAGGATGGTTCTCTGCTGCCATGGAAAAGACAGGCTACTGAGAAGATGCTGACTTTTCTCAGACAAAATCCTTGGTATTTTGACAAACAGGAGAGCCACTTTTCCAACTAACGAATAGTGGTGGTGGCGGCAGTGAGGGGAGACGTGACAGACTCTGCCACATCTTCTGTGACCATTATTTACTGTTTCAAAGCCGTGCTCTGTGTGTTTGTAGCTCCTCTGCTGTACCGAGGGAGGCAGGCTCTCGCTTCCAAGCTAGGATGGGTAAAAACAAAGGATCAATAAGGAAGGTTTTTTGTTTGTTAGGGATGCCGTTTCCCTGTGCTTGGATTCTTAATAGTGGGATGAATTGGCATAGTAATCTGGAGGGCTCTGAAGTACCTCATGCCCTCAGTACCCTAGTGAATGTCAAACTAGCTGCTGGGGTAATTTCACACCTAGACGACATCGGCTGAAGTCCTGTTACTGAACCATGCAGGATTTTTAACCACACAGGTACGGTCTTGAATTTTCATGACCGTCTCCCTGTTCTGCTTGAATGAGTGTTGTGGAGGATTTAAGATGCTATTACCAAAAAAAAAAAAAAGTCAGCTGAGTTTCCTTGAGATATTTTACAAAAATGCCAAGTTCTGTAGATGAGGCATGTTTCAAATGCTCTTCTTCAATTTTTTACCTCAATGTTTGTGCTAACTGGGAGAAAAACTTTCCATAAGTGCTAAACTTCTCCCATCTCAGATAAAGCTTCTCTCAGAGCATGCAAAAATACTTCTGAGTGCTCAAACTCAAGTTCGGTAAGTAGAATAGCAAGGCACAGCCACTTCTGCAGTGAAGTTGGAAGTTCTGACTGGCAGTTCTCTCCTGCCCCGTGTTGTTATCAGTACTGGCTCAAGCTGTGACAACAACCAGGGGGATCAGACGCAGCTTAGCAGAGGCCAGCTCTTTGCCAGGGATCTTTGCTTTTACACACCAGCCTCCTAAAGGAGAAATTTCATTCTAAGATTTTTCAGGTGAAGTTGTCCAGTCCTATGTTGTTCTTGACTAAAACTGTGTCCTAGGAGGTACAGGCTTTCAACCACAAGCTCAGACGAAATCGCTTGTGTTCACTGTTGCGTCATTTTTGGCTGGCGTTCAGTGCACAATGACAAGTATTTATTCACCTAGAAGAGAAGGGAGAAAGCTATGGGGATTGTGGCTGAGATCATGAGTGAAATTATTTCAGCTGAAAACAGTTACACCTTCAATAGCGCGTAACAGCCAAGAATAGTTGTTTTTCAGACCGAAGGACCCACATGGGGCTATTCTGCATCATGTACTAATATGGGGTTTAGGACTAAAAATAAAAAAGTACTTTTAGCTGGAAGAAGTTCGCCTTTCCACCAGGAAATGTGGAGTCAAAGTACGCGCGGCCTAAGGCCCTTTCCCTGTCGGCCTCCTCCGGGGCCGTCCCCAGGGCCCACCCCGGCGACCGGGTGCGGGCGGGCC